CGTGATGACTCATATAGTGTGAGTAGAAGATCATCCCGTGAGGGCATGCAATGAGATTTTGGGTGTCATGGCCTCCTCTTCTTCTTGTTCTGCTTGTCCTCCATCAAGCAACAAAAGCTGGCACTGGCGATATTGGTGGCCTGCAGTAAACTGCTCATCACAATTGAAACTCAACCCTTGAGCCCACCATTGTTGAATTTCTTCCCATAAGAGCCATTTGGGGCATTCGAAGTGGCTAGGGTTTGTGGGTTCTAGGCGTTTTGATTATTATCGATCGAATCGGGTGGATGTTGTCGGTCCATTTGTTCCTCATGTATACAGGCCAAGCCAATGGCGTCTTTTAATGTCTTGGGCCAAAACATACAGATCCCATCTGTGAGCTCAAGCTTGAGCCCGCTGATAAAGGCCCCAATTAGGGCCTTTTGAGTCCACCCGTGGATCTTATTACCCAGACACTCAAAGTCCCTCTGGTAATCACATAAGAGCTCGGTCTACTTGATGTGGGCCAGGGCCTCATTGAAATTCTCACATTTGATTGGCCTAAAGCGAGTCAACAATTTCTCTTTGAACGCAACCCAACTGATCTCGTGGCCCTATTCACAGTAAGTCTTGTTCACCCATTGCCACCAGCAGTTGGCCTCCTCCTCTAGGTGGAATGAAGCTAGAGTGACTCGGTGCTGCATGACTGTTTCGTAGAAGTCAAAGAATTGGCCAACACAGTTGAGCCACTTAGTGGGATCCCCATTGGTGAAGGATCAAGTCCGGTTATCTTGGAGTAGAAGGGTAGCCTCTCTTTGTCTCTTTCAAGCCCTTTTTTGTGAATGGGTTACGTCGGATTTGGGTGGCTCATATGTTTGTTGATGGAGCCCTCCTAATTGGAAACAATGGTTTCAGTCAGTCGTTTGAGAGTCTCCTCAATCAGATAGATCTTGTCGGCCATTTCCATCCGATTGAAGTTATCTTACAATCCGCCTATAATATCCCATATTCGGGATAGTTAAAGTTTTTTATGAAGCAACAATTTTAATAAAATTTTAAATCAAATTAAATGATGATGATAATAATAATAAAATTAAATTAAATTTAAAAAGAAATGCAAAGAAATAACTAAGAGAACCCATTTGGGACCCTTTTGAAAACAAATTTCAAAATCAGGGCTGTTTCATAACTAGATAAGGATCGATTTGAAGAGGAATTAGATAAATAGGGGCTAAATTGTAACTTGATAAAAGTGGGCCATGTGGAGGTCGAGTCAGCAACGCAACGAATCATAGCGCGCCACGTGATGGGTGAGTTAGCATGCTCTCCACGAGGGAGTTCACTCTGGCAATTCGCGTGCTGAAAGGATCAAACAGTCTGCACTGGTTCCTACACACACGGACGACCTCGATCATGCCCCACCCATATTTGAACGAACAACCTAGATGGATTGTGTAATTGATCCAATGGCTGCACAATCAACAACTCAGATTTGTAGGGCTGACCAATCCAACAATATGAATCGCGCATCAGAAGGAAAAACGGATTTTCCTTAAGTGGCCCTGATCAGACACCTCCCATTGCCCCACATAAACACAAACAAATGACCAAGATTAAATGGAGAGAGGTATTTAAACCTCTCTTTAGTCGGCCTCTCAAACCCTAGCCGACACAGCCGACTGGAGAAAAAGCAGCAAGGGACGTCAGAGATAGTTCAGGTGGTAGAGCAATAATGACACCACTGTGCTGGAGGTCAAAACCAACACTGGTAAGCATGATTTTCTCTCATTCTCTCTACTTTTCCACTTTCAACAATTTTTAATTATTTTCACCGTAAATTAGTCCAAGAAAGCTGCAAGCTGAGAGGGAGGAGGCATGTGTCTGTGATCGAAAGCCGAACCAGATTTCAATAAGTTTGTTCGCGTTCCTTCGCTTCATTTTCCTTCTTTTATGCACTAACGGAGTGATTCTCGTTCATGTTAAACCAAAAAAAAAAAGAAAAAATAAAAGGAAATAGTGAAAATTGAGGGCGAAGAGGATCGCCGCGACCGGTGGTTGTGAGGAACAACAACATCGTCGTCCAATCTGTGTACGATTACCTTGATCCCTTCCTTTACAACGGTTTAATTGGAGCTTGACCAGCAGTAATAGCGATTTAAAGGGTTTTGCTAATTATTTTGTGATTAAATAAAGGTTGTCGATGGAGTAATTAGTTTTGATTTCATTTTTTATTAACTGTCCATTTCTTTATTTTATTTCTTTTTCTTTTACTTTTGTTTTCCTTTCATCATTTATTTATGCTCACTGTTATTTTTATTTGTATTTTATCCTTTGTCCTATTCACTTTACTTAATTCTGTTTTTTTTTCATTATTTTCCTTATGTTTTGTAAAATTGATATGCTGGTTATATGTAATTAAATTATCTTGATGAATGGGGTGCAAATATATGTGCTGATGGTTATAGTGGCATAGGCTTGACGGTGTGTGTATGCATTGTCGTTTGGTTGTGTGAATAAGACATAAATTAATGTTGTAATTTGGAAGTGAATCCTTTTTCTTTCAAAATAATACAAATTTTATGTTGAGTGGAAAAGAGATTAAATCGCAAGAATGGTTGAGTTTCGAAAGTCGAGATATGAAATAAAAATAATATTTGAAGACTAAAGGCTTACATGAAAAAAAGTGTACGGACTTGGCACATAGGATGAACCTTACAATGGATGGATGTGTGTCCTCACTCATATAGGGTTAGGAAGTCCCGTACTGAACGGGGTTGGGAGTTGTTTTATTAACTCTCATACCAGATCTCTTATTGAGATGATCTATCATTGTGGCGTCCATTACCGAACGGAGTACGGAGATGACCGATAAATCGTAAAAAAAAATATTTGTATATCTATGTGTAGCAAGGATCCCTATGCCCCAATTGATACCGATAATGGCAATATCAATGATGAGTAACCATGTTTTTGTTAACTGGTAAGAACCCAAGGTTTCATAATTATTAAGATATGTGTTGATTGTATATTGCATTTTGTTCTAATGATATCTAAATGTTATGCATATGGATAATTGCTAGTAGGG